GAAATTGGCCTGCTTGAGTGGGGGAGGTCGAGTTGCACTGACTGGGGAGACAGTGGGGGCCAGGAGGTAGAGAAGGGTACGGGAGAGGGGAGCGGAAGGACGTGGGGTAGAGATGGGGGAAGGGGATGGCAGGAACCGCAGGTTTAGGATTCGGAAAGTCATAGAACGAAGAGGATGTCTACTTGAAAGGAGCTGAGACTTTGCTTGGAGGCAAGAACGACAAGTTCGGATTACATGGCTTATAATGCTGAGTAAGACAGTAGCTGCCCAGGCGAGAACCAGTACAGTTCAAAATTTCGACGAATAAACCAACATTTGTGTACGTCTATGCCCCGGTAACCCTAACGAATGCATTTTGCACGCCCTGACCGAGCCGAGTTTTAGTAACTGCGTCCAACATGACCGGTATGTTCGGACGCTGAGATTTAACGGGCCATCAAATATCTGTTATATTATGAGTCACCCCACTACTACTTCGCTGTACCCTTCTGCTGTTGAGGATGATTTCGCAACTTCCAAGCGGGCAGTCGATCAACGGTGTCAGCTCCGCAGTCCTTCACTGTGCAATCTCCGGCTGAAGATTGTGGCGCGCATGATGAACATCCTCCTCGAGGTAGGCGTGAGTGTCAGCTTGCTCTGGTTGTTGACAGTTACGTCTACCTCGACCAGAATGCGGCTTCTGTGCGTACGGCGCCTCATGCCCGAAGATAAGCAGCTCCCCTTTGCTGGTTTTTGCTATTCTAAGTGCTGAGTCATTCAGACATCTGCATGGTTTTTCCAAAAAATATCTAATACACGGAATCAAAATTCACTTTCACGGATGGTTGCTTGAAACAGCCGTTAATTTCTACTCTGGGCCTTAATCTTTGCAGCTTCTTCCATGTTGATCTGACCGGTACTTTATCGCTTGGTGGTTATCCTGCTGACGTTCCTGGACGGTCATCGTGCTGGCAACCTAACGACGGTGCTGATATCCGTTTCAACTACTGAAAAGATTCCCAGTACTTTGACAGGAAAACCAGGAAGCTCCAAAAAAGCTTTATCTGCGCCTTTTACATCGATCCAAAAAAGAGTACCCTGATGGAATCGTTGCAAATGGAAAGCCGCCTCCTAATGTTTCCAACGATACAGTCCTCAGTTTGTGAGTAAATAAACATCAGAATTATTTGTGCCAAACAAAACTGCTATGACCAATGTCAGCCTGACCAGCGGTTGATAATGCAGTAAACGTCAAACAGACTTTGCTTTAGATGCTCCCAGCATGTGAAAGCATCCCAGTAATTTTTGGTGCCCGTAGGATTACATGTTTCCTTGCGCTACAAGCAGTGACGCTAGATCAAATTGCCCTGGGCTACTTACGTGTGGTATGTTGGCTGTTATCAAAGCTATCAATTGAGTTGCAGCCATCAGGTCAATCCTGGAGGGGCAGATGATGGGGTGTACAAGTAAGAAAGGGTAGTATAGGTCGGGGGTAAGAGTGAGATAAGACGTTTCGGTCCATTGAGTCATATACGTTTTAACTTCACACTCTGACTGGACCTCGTCAGTATGACGGTCGCAGTGCGTACAATTTAACGAAGATTTTAAATTTTTAACGGAAATTAATATAACGGAAATTCTTCAATTAATTTAATAGAAATTTTAAATTAGCAAAAACCCAGTGAAAGCGGCGACCTGGAAGAACTGCCTGATTCCGTCTTCATTCTTCTGGCAGTGCAGCATCACAAACCTGATGCGACTGGCCGTCACGAATGCCGACACAAACCACTCGTTGAACTTGTCCACAACCTGCAAACCATTGCCCATCCTCAGAAAAAGCAGCCACTGACTGGTATGATCCTAAAAGTTTCTTACTTTGATCAGTGCTGCGTGCGCATCATCGCAACCGAAATGGCTAGCTATGCTATCGCTGTGTAACCGTGTGGAATCGATCTTGATAATCCCTCCTATCCATAAGCGGATGTGGGGCGGCTTCTTAGGGGAGCAATGGGGGTGGGGGCGACTTGGACGATTTCCTTCAACCCCCCTCCCCCTGGCGTTACACTGAAAACCCCACTACCCCCTCCCCCAGTTGTCACTATTGCAATTTCAATTTTAGATGTGTATTTATGTAAAAAGTAAGGGTTAAAAGGAATAAAAGGAAGGTGAGAAGCTAAATCGGATTAAAAAACCTGAATAGGAATGTTTCGGTCCTTTAAGTCGCATACATTTATGTTGGACGCTCCGAAACCTTGTCCCTTTCCTCTCACTGCTTCACCTTAAATTGGCCCTACCAAGTTTTGTTCTTTCGTTCTTTTGGGAAAAAATGCGAAATCCCCTTGCATCTCAGGACTGCTGTGATCCTCCAGGTTCACCAGTCTAAGAACATTCTTCTTTCTATACGCCATGACCTCTGCATCGCTTTGAGCAGTCGTTGTCAATCACTTATACGAAACTGTGCGCATCAAAATTACATATGTTTATCTTCAGGCATGCATAGACAGGCCTGGGGCGGATTTTTCAATCAATCATCAGAGATTCCGATCATATGGGATTATCCAGGAGCACCGATATCATCCATTGCTCAATTGTAATTTTAATTTTAATTTTAGATGATGTGCGTTTATGTAAAAAGTAAGGGTTAAAAGGAAGGAATAAACGGAAGGAGAATAAGATAAATCGGATTAAAAAAGACATTAACGAAGCGGTCTTGAGTAGCTTGAATTAGAGTCACAATCAAACATCTACCCTCCCTCCTATATTTCACTGCCTTCAGAAATCAGAAAAACTGCTAAGGTGAAAATCATTCTAGCGCACGAAATGGGCCCAACGAACATCAGCAGGCTGACCATCAGGCTCGAAAATAACTTTATTTAGAACATTTTGCTTTCATTTCCGCCTTTCTTCTCATTTAGCTCTGCGAGCGTCATACTGACGAGTTCCTGCTGCGGTGTTAAGACGTATATGAGTTAATGGACCGAAATGTCTTATATCACTCCTAGCTTTTTTTCTCATTCTGTTTTTTCATGCTGTAATCTATCACCTTCCGCCATTTAGGCTTCCAGAGTCAACCTGGATGTTGCAATCTGCTTACGTTATCCAAGGAAAGTAAGATGATTTAATCTATAGCAAATAAATGAAACCCCAAGGAAGTGATTTCCGGTTGAAAGGAAAAATTTTTCATTGAAAAAAATGACTTAACACTTCGGCCTACAGGTGAAACCAGTAAACAAAAGCGGGCCTGTTGACCTGTCTTCCACAACTCGTTCTCAGACACAGAAGCGCCCTAGTTATGCGTTTTGTGTTGTGTAATAGCGTTACAAAACGCACATTACCACGGGGTTGTCTGTGTGTGTGTGTCCCACATTTTGTCCCGCACTTTCAACTCGGGAATCACAAAAGCTAGGCGTCTGAGATTTTGGTATAGTGTTCCTCGGCAACAGGTGATGCGGCAAATTTAAATACAGCCTTCCCGTACCGGCGGGTAGCACGTACGGCCCCGCGAAAGTTTTTTACGGGTAAATTAATATCTCAGGAACCACGGAGTCTAGGAG